CCTCTCTCTTAATTATTTGATACACGCTCGACTAAAGATACTTGGACGTATTATGCTTGGTATGGTTACTTCGATTGTAGCCCACTCCTACAAGTGTCTTTAAGTCCCCTTGGTACTTTGTGTCCCTCACGGACTAAGTTCCACTCTTACGAATCGTCCTTAACTATTACGGGCCTTAACAAGGTCAAATCTAACCATCAAAAATAGGTAGAATCTATACTCCACTTGTAGTATCGATACCCTGAGATCAAATATCAATACCCCATCATACAAAACTATTACGGGCCTTGACTAAGTCCCCTATTTTACATTCTTCGACTCAATAAATCATACAAAACTACCCTTTCAAAAAAAATGATGCATGAAATTGAGAAGAGGAAGACAAGCCAACCAAAAATAAAATATACGTGGCTGCAAGAAAACTATGAAATGCATTGAATGAAGCATTTATTTTGCACTCTCATAACAATAAATTTTAGGGTCAGAAAGAACAAATAATTTTGCCACCATTATTCCTCCTATGAACGTCTAACTTGACACCATCCTATATAAATTTACTGCACAACGTTGTAAGTGTCAGATTCTAATTAGAATTTTATAAAGTAGTTGTAAAAATCTTCCTTAGTAATGCATGTCATGTTTAATTTTAAAGATTAAAAATTCAATTATATATCAGAATTCAAATTATTTTTTATGATTATTATATTTAGATTCGAGTCTTATTATATGTTGATTCTTCGCCTATATTTATTCAGATTTAAATTTAACTATGTGTGAGGTTTATCTAAAATTATTTTAGTCTGGATCTAAAATTATTTTAATTATCAGTTCATTCGTTTATACATTGTGATAATTTATTTTAATCATTTTATCTATATGATATATATTAATTGATTTTAATTATAGTCATACGGATATATTAATTATAGTTATAGCTTAAAAAATGAAGAAAATCGTATCTCCTTTTTATGGCAAAGGTAAGATAATTAGTAATAAATAATAATAAACGGATCAAAAAAGCCGATAAGGTTTTGGTTTATTATAGTAAAGGGTGGTTGATAGGTCCATTATTTAATGATGAGGAAGTAATATCCATTACGTTTATAACTAAACCTCATAAAAGTTTCCATTTTCAATAAAGGGTCGGTTTATATTTTTTTTTTTTATAAAAATAACCCTCGTAAAAATTTCACAGTTTCCTTACCCTTCCCAAGGACAATATATATCCTAAGAAATAGTGATAAAAAAGTAATATATTTGGTCTTTGATTCATTAATGGTTGAGAGTAGTTGCAAAGCTCATAAGTTGGTCACAAATAAGGTGGTGGGATGCCATGAAACCCTTGGAAATGAAATCCTTCACCAGATTTTTTTAAGGGTTCAAAATAATTATGGTATATTTATATATATTGTTATTAGATTTTGGCTTTTAAATCCCGAAAATAAAAAGTTCAAAGATTTGGTGGGGATCAATGTAAAGAACTTAATCTCATTTCTAAAAAAAAATCCTAGAAAGATGTGAATTAGAAATGATCAAACTTAATTAAAGGATTAAATATGCTGAAACGTACAATTCAAGGATCATATGTATAATTTGACCATTCTGTTAAATATTTGAGCATGATTCTACCTTATCCCGTTGATGTATAACAAAATGTTGTGTGGTCCACAATACTAAGTGAATTTTCAATGTTGAATTGAAAGTAGAGAACTAGTAAGAATATCAATGGTATATCCCACTAAAGCATCTTATGGTATTTAAGAACCACTGACTATGATCCCCAGCTATAGGATATTGTTTTGTTGAGTTCGTTGACTATTAAAAGCTACAAAATGGTCCACTGACTATAGTGTGTTGCTTTGTTGAGTCCTTCGTCTATAAAGGTTATAAAATGGTTACCCGACTATTCATATATTTCAAACTCGTCATTTTTCGTTAAAAATTAACAGTTATCTGAGTTGAACGTTAAAATGTTGATTGAGACAGTATAAAATATGATCCTAGAACTATTTGAGATGTATAGTTGTTTGAGATTATGGATCCAATTTTATCATATTTTAGTCAGCATATTAAAGTACACACCAATAATTGACAAGATTAGAGATAAGCTTAATATGTGGGCTAATCATCGCTTAAGTTTTGCTGGGAGATTGCAATTAGTTCGAGATTTGTTTGTTTAGTATTCCCAATTATTGGTGTAGGAAATTAATCTTGCCTCAAGCCACGATTAAGAGGATTGAGCAACTTTGCTCCCGGTTCTTTTGGAAGGGGTCAGATATAAGTGCGAGTGGTGCAACTCGTGTTAGTTGGAAACTTTTATCTTGTGTGATCTGAATGAGGGCTGGGAGTAAAGGATATTGGAGGATGGAACAAAGCTTGTATCTTGCAGTTGATCAAGAGCATTTTGGCGGGTGAAGGCTCCCTTTGGGTGGCTTGGATCCGAACATATGTTTTGAAGGATAGAGATTTCTGGCAGATGGAGATTCCTTCAAATGTCAGTTGGAGCTTTAGGAAAATCTTAAAGCTCAAGCCTAAAGCTCGATGCCTATTTTCTGGGGATGATACTAATTTGTTGAAGGTTAGTAGGATTTGGAATAAGCTTCAGGTTGAGGGCCCTAAAGTTCCCTGGGCTGATATGATTTGGTTTGCTGGTCGGATCCACAAGCACAACCTTATACTTTGGATGGCCATTCTTTATCACTTTCCTACAAGGGAGAGACTATTGAGGTTGGGTGTTAATATTGAGAATGTGTTGTGTGTGCTTTGTGGATATTATTTGGAAAGCAGAGGGCATCTTTTCTTCGAGTGTGGCTTTCCTAGAGAGTTGTGGGAGGGAATTCTGGCTCTGTGTGGTATTGCTCGTCGAGTGAGCAGCTTAGAACATGAGTTTGTGTGGGCTTTGTTTCATTGTAGGGGGGAGTCTCTCTTGGTTTTGATCCTTAAGCTTGCTTGGGGATGTCATGTGTACAGTGTTTAGGAGGAGAGGAATCACAGGCACTTTAGGAATGCTTCACGTTCGGTTGGTGCTGTCCTATAGAATATCAAGGAGATGATTCAAATTCGACTTCGTGGCTTGCAAATAAATAGGTTTGATGTTGTGAATAGCAGGCTTTGTTCTTGCTGGGGCATTGTGTAAATTATTTTGGTTGTTTGATGTTTTGTTTTCGGTTGTTAGCTTGATTGTTTTGTTTTTGGTTGTTGGCTTGACTGTTTTGTTGTAGCATATTTCTACTTTCTTTGGGTAAATAGATTGAATTTATCCAAAAAGAAAAAAGATGAGTTTGAAACATATGAATAGTTGAGTGACCATTTTGTAACTTTTAATAGTCGGGAGTTCAACAAAATAATATCCTATAATTGGGGGGTTATTTTGTAACTTTTAATAGTCGGAGGACTCGACAATGCAACATACTACAGTCGAGGGACCATTGATGTACTTCACCCTAAAAATAAATGAATAATTTAACTTGAAAAAACAAATTGAAATTATTCATAAGGTAGTTGAGAATTGCGTTTACTGTAAAAACCGGCGGTTGTAATATTTCATCACCAGATAATTGTTCAAAGCAGAATGAAGATACGCCACCTCTGTTAACCACCACCCCTTTACTTTCCCGTTGCATTTATATTTTACTCTTGGATAAAATACATAAAGTTACTAAATTATATTGAAATAATCATTTTTTCTATTAAATTTTTAAAAGTTATAAAATCGTTATTGAAGTTTCAGAAGTTATAAAATAATTATTGTAATTTTAAAAGTTATAAAATAATTATTTAATTAATCGGACTGTTATAAAATTGTCAATGTGTGCTATAAAATAGTAATAAATTTCGATAAGTTTAATGATAATTTTGTAATAGTTTGATAAAATGTAATGACTATTTTATAACTTCTTAAACTTTCATGGCTAAAAAGATCATTTTTATATATATTTTAATGACAATTTTGTATTTTTCCCTTCAAATTGTACTACCTTTATTCTGCTCAATATGTCCATTTGGATTCGTATCAAATTAGTTTCAAATAATTTAAATCAAACTCAAATTATTATTTATTAATAAATATTTTATTTTAATTTAGATAAAATAGGATTCAAATTTCAGATTGAGATAAAAAAAATCTAAAACAAAAAGTTTGAATAAGGTATCGTGATAAATTAGGGTCTAATTAATTCATTTATAAAGTAATTTAATTATATGGGTGGCTCAACTAAGTTACCTGAAAACTCTAATTACTTGTGCATATAGGGTTGGGCACGGGTCGATTTTGGGTTGGGTTTCAGTCAATCCGATCTAATTTAAAAAATTTACACCTTTCATTCGACTCAAATTCGACCCGACTTTTTGAGATAAAATCTGAATTTAATCCGACTCGAAATATTATATTTATTAAAAAAATATTATTTTTATTCAATAAAAATAGAGATTTAATTAAAAATAATAATATATAAAAAGATATTATTGTAATTATTAATAAATATATAGGGTAAAATTATATTTAGGAATTCATAAATTGGGAGATACGTAACAAGTGACCATCTTTAACCTCTCTAATTTATCCAGTATTGAATTCCATCATGTTTTCCACCCTAATTCTCCTTACCCTCCGTATCTACCCCTTATTAATTACTAACAAAGAAAAATCCACACCTTTTCTCTTCCCTCCCTCAAAATCCTTGGATATAAAACGGCCTAAAGCGTTCCAAAATCAATCTGCAGGAGAAACCCGGACTCAATTTTCTCGGTTCCCAAACACTTCCAAATTTCATAGACGAAGCCTTCTAATTCATTTCCCCAGGTGAATTATACATCTTTTTCTTCAGTTTTCAATTCTCCATTTCTATTCTTCCTTTTAGCTGACTGTTTAATCCATTTTTATAGAAAACAATGAGTCGGAGAGCGAACAGTCCAGAGCTGGAACTGACGCTGAACTCATCGCCACCAAGGGCGCCAAACCAACAAGTTGGGTCGCCGAACACGTCGGTTTTGAATTATACATCTTTTTCTTCAGTTTTCAATTCTCCATTTCTATTCTTCCTTTTAGCTGACTGTTTAATCCATTTTTATAGAAAACAATGAGTCGGAGAGCGAACAGTCCAGAGCTGGAACTGACGCTGAACTCATCGCCACCAAGGGCGCCAAACCAACAAGTTGGGTCGCCGAACACGTCGGTTTCCTCCTGCGAAATGTCGGCGGAGAGCTCTTGCGTTTTGTCGGAGCCCGACGAGTCGGCGACGATGGTGCAGTACCCGATGATGCTGGTGGGATGCCCTCGGTGCCTCATGTATGTCATGTTATCGGAAGTGGATCCCAAGTGCCCTCGATGCAAGAGCACCGTCTTGCTTGATTTTCTCAAGGAAGAGAACACTAAGAAGACAAGTAAATGAACAAGAATGTCCCAGGAGGCCATGATTGTTCTTTCTTTCTTCCCTCTCTTTTTGTCATGAAACAAACAACTTACGTAATTCTCTAGAAATGGTCCTTTCTTTTTTTCCAAACATTTAAATTCATATGATGCAATTAAAGGTAGATACAGATAGGTAGCTTCTTTCACGCAAGGAATTTAGTGTCTCATCTCACTAAATTAACTGATTTCTTAAAATAATATCAAAAAATTGAAAGAAATTAATTGAATTGAATTCAGTTGTGTAATACAAAGAAGAAGAGATTATTTCGATTTTACTTGTTTTATTTACATTTCAAGGGAGGACAAAACGACATCTTCAGGCTTGCAAAATCCAGGGAGAATAGGAAAAAGGATCTAGGTCGCATTAGGTTTATTAAGGACAACAATGGTGTCCTCTTAGTGAAAGATCATGACATTAAGAGGGTGTGGGATAATTACTTCTTTGGCTTATTTAATGATGGTGCCTCTCCCTGTAGAGATAGTACCGTTGATGGGTCAGCCGACCATCATACAACGGTCATTGACTACCCCACAAGTAAGATTGGGTTTGAGGATGTCAAAATGGCTCTTAGAAAGATGGGAAGGGACAAAACTGTCGGTCTAGATCAAATTCCTATCACTGTGTGGTTGGCCCTAGGAGAAGAGGGAGTAAAGTGGTTGACCAACATCTTTAACATTATTCTAGAGACTGCCAAGATGCCAGAGGAGTGGAGAGAGTCTACGGTGATACCAATCTATAAGAATAAAGGAGATCCCCAACGTTGTGGCAACTACAGAGGTATTAACTACTCAGCCATACCATGAAGCTATGGGAAAGGGTGATAGAGGCTAGGTTGAGACAGGTTACTAGGGTTTCGGAAAACCAATTTGGCTTTATGCCAGACAAGTCTACTACGGAGGCGATTCATCTACTTCGACGGCTTATGGAGAAATATAGGGGAAAAAAATATAGATCTTCACATGGCGTTCATTGACCTTGAGAAGGCGTATGATAGCGTTCCCCGCGATACGATCTGGAAGACATTGGAAACGAGACGGATCCCAACTGCTTATATCCGTGCGATTCGTGATATGTACTATAGATCTATTACCTACGTCAGGACTACAGTTGGCGAGACCGAGGTATTCCCGGTGGAAATCGGACTCCACCAAGGGTCATCTCTTAGCCCTTACATCTTTGCTTTGATTATGGATGACATCTATTGTGCGACACCAGACGGTGTTCCATGGTGTATGATTTTCGTTGACGACATTGTCTTAGTGGCTGAATCAAAAACTGAGCTGAATAGTAGACTGTCTACATGGAAAACAGCTTTGGAAGAAAAAGGACTAAGGATCAATATTGAAAAGACAGAGTATTTATGTTCAAACTTCAGTGGGAACCAAACGATGAAGACGTAAATGCATAGAGGACTAAGGATCAATATTGAAAAGACAGAGTATTTATGTTCAAACTTCAGTGGGAACCAAAACGATGAAGACGTAGAAATATGCATAGAAGGGCACGTTCTCCCCTCAAAGGATTGTTTCAAGTACCTAGGGTCTATGATACGTAAAGATGGGGGTGTAGATGAAGAAGTTTCACACTGTATAAAGGCGGGATGGCTAAAGTGGAGGGCTGCTACTGGAGTTTTGTGTGACAAGAATGTACCTCTAAAACTTAAGGGAAAATTTTATAGAATGGCAATAAGACCAGTGCTGCTGTATGGATCAGAATGTTGGGCTATCAAGAAGGATCACGTAAGGAAGATGGAGGCCGTAGAAATGAGAATGCTTCGATGGGTGTGTGGTAGGACTCTATGGGACATGACACCAAACTCTGCTATTAGATGTCCTTGGGGGTGGTGCTTGTATCCGAAAAATTGAGGGAGGGAAGACTACTGTGGTTTGGGCATGTCCAAAGACGACAACCATCGGATGCGGTTAGGAGGGTAGAGTCGATTACAGTCGACGGTACCAGAAGGAGAGGTCGACCAAGGCGGAAATGGGAAGACTGCTTGAGATCTGATTTGAAGGATTTAGTCCTTACTGAGGACATGACCTCTGATAGGAAATTATGGCGACTTAAGATCAGGGTAGTCGAGTAGGGCGAGTCACATCCATTGGGTGTATCATCTTTGTCTTCTTTTAATGCCTTTGTAGTAATTTCATTACTTATACTTTTTATACGTTTATGTCATTGGAATTAATGAAGGCCTAGAACTAAGGTAACGGAGTAGTGTTGCCTTAGTTTAGGTTTTAACCCATTTGACTTTATCCATTCTCGAAGCCTGCTATCGTTGAATTCCTTGTATACTTTTCTTCATGTTTCCTCTTTATAATTTTGGACGGGTCTTACTTTTCTGTCTATATGCAGATATTTTTTACGCAGGGGTGTATTTTCAGGGATTACTTCCCATTACAGACGTCCATATGAAGACTGCATATGAAGATTGTCTAACTACGTATTTTATTTATTTATTTAAACATGCATTGTATTTTATCTTTATTTTTAATTTTTTGATTGCCGGAGGTCTTCCACGGAAGCTGCTCTCAACCTGGCGTTGGGGGACAGCCTACTACCCTACCTCTCCCTTACCCCATTACATATGGGAATAGGGTTTTGTTATTGTTGTTGTTGTTGATTTACATTTCAAATCTATGTATATAAACTTCTATTGAATGCTTAGTAACTATTGAAATGCTAATTCACAAAATTTTAAATATTGAAGTTTTAATCACTTAGGGTTTTTTGTTAGGTTTTGGGATGTGGGATTCAAACGTACGACTTTCTTCCTACTTGCAGACCACCTTGGTGGCATCTTCGACCTCGGAACCCCTTTGATCTGCAACAACAACTTTTACAGTGGTTCCCGTGACACAGGGTTCACATTCATACTTCCTTTCTATTCCATAACCAACTCATCTGTGAGCTGAAGAACCTGACTGACAAGAAGTAAACATGAAAATCCAACAAATCTTGAGCATATAGATAGAAAAGCTAACTACTAATCACCTATTGTTTTAGTTTATCCTTATTCCTGAGCCCATTAAAGCTGGCTTGCAAAGTGTCGTAGTCTTTCTCAAGCTGCTTCGTCTTCCAACGAGCCCTGCAGTTCTGCAAACCATATATGCAACCTGGCGGGGTCGCAAGCCCAGGCCCTTAGAATCTTTGTTTTCAATATAAATTTTTTTTATAAATAAATGATTCATTAGAATGTGCTAGTCTACATAAATATCAGCTACATAATGATGGGGGATGTATGTAGAAAAGGTTTCAAAAGGAGAGATCTATACTCCTGTGCTCGTTGGACACTGGTGATCAGTGATAGAGAAGATGAACAGATACGGCGTAGACCGGGAAATTAAGAGTTTAAAATAAAAGCATATTAAAAAGAGGGGTAAATAATTTTATCTAAAATCTAGGGTTAAAATAGAAATGAAATCTTTTTACTATCGTGCAACATCATAAAACTAACGACATTCAACGTCTAAGTGATCAAAACTTAAAAAGACGATAACATAAGTGACCGAAACTTAAATTTTTTGAATTTGATGAATGAAAATGTATAAATGTGAAAACTAAGTGACGATTCCGATAGTGTACCCTGTTTTCAAACAATTTAGATTAAAGTCAATTAAATAGGCGTTTTCCCGAAAAATCACCGGTGACCGGTATATTTACCGATCTAACATCGGTCAGACTATATTTCCGATCTAACACCCTTAACAGTAAAGCGTGCCCCCTGAACCCCGCTATATGCTGATTTGGATCCACGTGGGGTAAGACGCGCCCCCTGCACCGCTCTATATGCTAACATAGGATACACGTGGGTATAGCACGGATCAGGGGTTGCGCCTTACCTGTGTATCTGCCACGCGTCAGAAAAGCGCGCCCCCTACCCCGCGCTATATGTTTAATTACCCCCATACCCCGACGCTTCACACCCCAATCCTCCCTATAAATACTCTCATCCTCAATCACTTTCATCACACCAAATTCTCTCAACTTCTCTCAAATACTCTTATATTCTTTGTTTAAGGTATATTTTATTATATTTTTAATATTTTGTATTTAAATTATTTAAGTATTTTAATTTATTTAATATTTTACTTATATAATTTTTTTTGCAGATATATAATGGAAGGCGACCTACTTCGCTTGGATGAAAATCATATATCTCGACACTTTGCTGATACAATAACATTTTAATGTTTTAATTTAATTTAAATTATTAGTAATAATTTGTTGATTTATTTAATGCATGATTATTAGATTAAGAATTAATTTTTGTAATTATTTATTTTTAGGAGAAGGACCGTGTATTAGATCCTTTTATTAGGAACCTTAAGTTAGTGATATCTAGCCGTGTCTTGCTGTATTTAGTAGAGATTGGATTTGGTTACATAGGTAGATATCAGGGTCACTGTAAGATAGAACCAGACTTTATCTCTGCCTTAGTAGCGGTGGAGGCGGAGACCCACATTCTTCTTTCTGTGCGGAGAGTGCATGATTACACTTGAGGATGTTGCTATGCACCTGAGGCTTTCGGTGGATGGGGATGTTATATCAGGGATCGCGCAGGGTTCCTGGACTACTTTGTGCAGGGAAAATCTAGGACGTGTCCCGGAAAGTTTTAACGGTGGTCGGATACCGTTAAATTGGTTAAATGCCAATTTTCAGGAGTTGAGCGAGGACGCGTCTGAGGATGAAGTTAAAATGTATGCACGGGCATGCATACTGCAACTGATAAGAGGGTTACTGATGTCGGACAAATCGCACAACCAAGTTCACTGCATGTGGTTGCAACATCTGAGCGACTTTCATATGGCCGGATCATTCAGTTGGGGCTCGATAGTTTTTGCTTTTCTGTACAGGGAGATGTGTCGAGCTATTGACTACAGGCGTAATGCTATCGGCGGATGTCTCCTGCTGCTGCAGTCTTGGGCATGGTATCGATTGCCCTTTTTATGTCCCGTTGTGAAGAACCCATTCGTATTTCCACTACTCCTGAGGTAATTATAAAACTGATTTCGTATAT